TTTGTATTGTAGTCCTCATAATGGCGGCTCAACAACTCGCGGAAGTTATGGAGCGACCATCTGAGGACAAGTCTGCTATAAAGGCCGAGGTTGTTGCGTGGACAAGTGGAAACTCTACTCATTTTAATCTTCAAGGAACCGTGTCATTCATTCTTAGTGAAGTCGTCCACCTTCTAGACGACAGCGTAACTGGTCTATTGGCTAAGATGAATTCGACTGTGGTCGGCCTAGTTCCAACTCTGGAGGTAAATTGGCCTTCCCTAATGTAGCAATGTGTCAACTCTCTAGTAGATTAAATAATAAAATGGATCTCTAAATGGACTTAGATGAAATGTGTGATAGATAGCTGATAACCATTTAAAAATTTTTAAATTTTTTAACCAAGGATCCTTATTAGGTCCTTAAACTGACACCTTTGAATGGTTCGAATTTCAAGAACCTTAACAAATTTAGTGCATTTCTTATTACCAGGTATATCTTGCCATTATTTTCTGGTCATTAAATTCTCTGCGAGAGGATAATTATCAGTCAGTGGACTCTAGCCCGAGTTAGGGACACTTTTCGAAATGTCGGTTTCTAGAAAAGAAGTTGACTTCTTATTACCTCAGTGAAGGACTAACATGCGCATATCGCCTGCGAACGCGTGGTGGAAGGGGGCTTCTAGCATCTCCTCTTCTTCCAAACAGAGACAGCTATCATGGTAGGACTCAAGCTGAAATATGTTTCATATGGCGTAGCAAACAAATCGCCATTATTTTCTGGTCATTAAATTCTCTGCGAGAGGATAATTATCAGTCAGTGGACTCTAGCCCGAGTTAGGGACACTTTTCGAAAATGTAGGTTTATGGAGAGGAGAGGAGCGCAAACAACAAAACGAATTGCTTAAAAGTTCTATTAGAAAATAGTTTGGGTCCTTTTTGGACATATTTATGGCGTAGCAAACACCTCGCATAAATTAATAAATTAAATTAAATTAATAAGATAAGTCATGAAATATTCCTGACGTTTTGTCTGGACCTAAACTGGAAAAGCCAAACAGTGCATTTAAAATACCGACATTGGAATATGCTTTTTCCTTTTTAGCCAACTATTAGTGATGGCGTGACGGATGTATTTAATTTTCTCAAAAACCTTACTAAAATCAATGACCTCTTTACGGACACAAAGACCATGGAAGTCGAATTAAGTGCTTTCAAGGAAAATGTGAAAAATATTAATGAAACTTATGATGATGTGGTTCCAGTACTCGGCAGGCTAAATACAGAGTTTAAAGATATTCATACAGAGGTGAATAGGACTCAACCTGGATTGGTGAGCAAATCATTCAGAATTATTGATAACTGACTTGACGTGTGTTTAATTCCTTTTAGCCAGGGTTGAACTTGATTGATTTCCGTTTTGATCAAGTAAATGTTAAACCCATAGTCGCTAGTGTGTATATATACCAGTTTGTGGACAGATTTGTTCAGTTCGCACAAGAAGTGGAACCAATCAAGCAGGAATTGGACTCTATGCCAAATAATATAACAGATAAAATTAAGAATGAGTTGGACCTCACTGAGTTTTATACACAAATAGAGACACAAATTACTAGCCAAATTGAAGACATAAAACCACAAATAAGCAATGCAGCCGATACTATCCCTCAATATATTGGAAAGGCTCAACCATATATTTCACCTGCTCTGTATGCTCTAGCAGGAATCATGATTCTGATAGCCATTGCCTTCTTCGTCTGTTTGATGCTTTTCATTGTGGAAGCTTGTCGTTTTCGCCTCTTTTCCTGCAACGGAGAAGGTCCATCAGAGCGTATGTCATTTTCATACTATTATGAGGCACATCTTGGTTGAACTGGTACACGATACGAGCATTTTCTACTTCTTCTCCTTCAGTTGCAAGTATTGAGAAACTCAGGCGAAGGAGTCGAGCGTGCGGTGGGTGTCGTTTCTGCATGTGCTCCTTCCTCCTCATTTTCGTGATTATTTTTGCGATTTTGGCCGCAGTAATCTTGGTCATCAGCAGTTTCCTTGCGGCTGAGTTGTGTCCCTACGTGTGGCAGGCAAAAGGGGTCAATCAAAGTGATTACGTGTTAAATAGTTTTGTAGATCAAAATTGGCCCCCAATATCAAACGACCTGCTTGATATGCCAGCACCGAATAACGTATTGTTCGCCATCGGCAACACCTGCAAACCAACTCCATCAACCGATCCAAAACTTCTTCCCAGTATTGGAGTCAATAAAATAGCCAACTTAACTAAACTTTCCGATGATCCTAACATTGTCGAAAAATTTGAAGAGATGAGCAAGTAAGCACCATTTAAAATTGGACTGGAATTGTATGATTCCTGTGCTTCAACCTATTGATTCACCAACTTATTTAATTACGTAAAACCCCCTTTCCTCTTTCTTAACAAAGGGAAATGGCTGACCAAATCTCGACAAGTATTAAGGATCAAATGATAAATTCAATCGAGGAGTTAAGAAATAGGACACATTTTCTTGATCAAATCCTACAAGCTTTGGAAGCTGGAGTAAGCATAAACGCCACTAGAAACATTTAATATCGTTAAAATTCAAGTAATTAGCTACGTTGCTTACCTTTAGAAAGCTGTGGTGGAATTGGAGAAATTTACTAATGTTACGATTAAGGAATTAAGGGAACTTCGAAGTCATGTAAATGACACTACACAGGCCAACAAGTTGACAACTGCAATTGATAACCTCGAAAATCTTATGCCGAAAGTAGAAAAAGTTCAAGGAGGATATAATGGAGTGGATGCCAAGAAGGGGTTACCAAAAGAATTAGAAGACTACCTGAAAAAAGTCAAAGACATTTTGGAGGTACGATTTCGTTACAAGATATCGTTATTTTTAACTACTCCCTAATATCTTTCTTCCAGAGAATTTACCGAAAGTGGATCGATAATCCATAAATACATCTATTTTCGGCATATGAGGTGGAGTGGTTTCACTACAGCGCCAGCTGCGTCAGTTTGCAGTTTTCCACATTTGCATTCTTCACATAAAACAGTGAACTAAAAGGTTTATTCCTTTTTGCAAAATAAGACTCTTCCGTATTGGTGTTCACTGGTTAGCTCCTGGCAATAATTAGCTCAGTCCCAGTGGGAAGAAAGAGACAAGACAAATATGCACCCTCTTCAAGGTTAATTTATTAAATGGGCAAATAGCGTTTATAGGCTGAATTAATTAAAGACTATATTGAGAGGTGGGGGGGGGGGTTGGGGGGTTGGGAGAGAGTTGTCTACGCCAACAACCACATCTTTTGTGTCGGCATGTGAATTAATATAAATGTGTCTGACTTCTGTGCCCACCAGGAGTGGGCTTGTCACATCCGGAAAAGGTTCATAGGCTCTG